CAGACTATTTCATAAATGGTAAGGCACGCAAGTCGCTTAAAATGCTTTACAGCACAATAAACGTTGAAACTTCAACTTTTTGGAAATATTGGTCACGGATAAGTTATGGATTTTCTTCAGCCCAAAAATGAGTATTATGGCTATTAAATGATTCATTTTTGGTAAACTTAGCTTCATACTCCATATAATTTTTTCAAGAAAATATTTATCTTCCTGGCTTCATATGCAACCATTCACAAAACTCAATTTCACGATATATAAGATGATATACCAGATGATGATCTGGAAGGTTTTCATTTATGATTTTTTTTTAATGGGGTGTGCAGTTTTTGATTTAACTGGTACATTTTTAGAAGACACATTTGGATGAGTCATTAAATATGGTTATTTTTGGAAGAAATGATCAATGATGCAAACAATTTTCCAACAGCCTTTTTACCGTATTTGGATTCGGTTCGAGTTTTTCCGGACACCGTTCGGAAATACATCTGCATGCCCGGTGGGTAATTCGATTACATTCACCATGGTTCACAATCAAATTTAAAAAATCTTCGTTCCTATAACCTAAGCAGGACATATTTTGCTCACGAATTCATGAAATACACTTATAAAAATGAAAATAATATTAAATCAATAGTCCTTCATTTGTTTCCATAGTATTCCTATTTTATTGAATGATTGTAAACATATAGTCATACATCAGCAACATGGATCGTGGTAGATCTACCAGTACAAATCTGCTTATTTATCAACACTCCATTATAAATGGCTCCGAAAATAAACGAATTCACTTGGAACTATTCATTTCCCAACCTCAGGCTCATACAGGCTAATAAAGCTGATTTGTTTCTTCTCTACCATCAGAGCAAGACGATATTTGTCGTGAAGTTTCCAGCTTTTGGCGAGACGAATATCCTCCGAAAAGAGGAGGAAAAACGGATATAACATTTATAGAGTTTCTCTTCGAGCTCCACAGACTCTATGCAAATCATTCTATCAAGATGGTTTTTCTGACTATTGGAACCCATGGTAGAATAATGCCCCCTCTACTCTTGAATCTCAGGATGCACCTGGGCTTCAAAAGATTGAGTCCGACCAGCGTAACTTTAGGATAAAAAAATAAGAGTGCTTCATTACTATCTACGGCTCTAAGAGTTCTTCATTACCATCTACAGCACTTTTACGGTATTGACGAGACTCCGATGTTGCCCTACGATACGGAAGATATTGAATACGTTGTGCCGAATTTATTGGCACCATCTGTTCCCCACCCTCAGGTTCATACAAGCTAATAAGTATGTTGTAGTTTTTCTTGACCCTCAGAGCAAGACTATATTCGTTGTGGAGTTTTGTGCTTCCGGCGAGACGAGTATCGTCCGAAAAAATAAAAAAAAACGTATGAAATATCGAGATGTATAAACAATATTATGAGTCGAGTGAACCTTAACATGAATTTCAAATGATGCTACATCAACAAATTCACAAATTTCTTTCAGAAGTTCATAAAAAATAAAAATGTTTTGCCTCAGTAGGACGAAACAATATATTTACAGGGAGAAACATCGGTACAATTCTTTTCACACATAGACTGGCTGTATATCAAATCATCTAAAGGAACAATTCGTTCAGGTCATTCTCAACTCCCTACACTGTAGGTTAATGGACTGACACGTACCTATCAGAAAACAACAACTCCCCTGGCTAATATCATGAAGGGTGTTGGATTATATCCGACAGGTGTCAGTGCAGGATTCTTCACTGGAGTTATTCCTGTATATGCTGTTGGCAATACAACTGCCGCAATAGATTTTCAATCATTGGAACACACTTGCATACCGGGTTCGGGCAAAGCTCGGCCATCCAAGTACTCATAACATAGAAAAAGAAATAAATTTATTAGAAATAGATTTACTAATATAAATAAAGATAAACATAAGATAAACATAAGTAATATACATAAGACAAACATTGCAAATGATTATGGATATATTGTTTTTTGTAAACTACAATCTGAGGAAGTAAAAAGCATAACATTTTTACATGTTGATCTTTATTCACGCAACCAGCAAATATTGGTGTATATAATATCAACTTACATAAATGAAATTGGATCGTGATGCAGTAACATCAGTAGAAATAATACTAAAATAATAACTGCAAACACATGATAATGATACATTAGTATAAATAGATTCACAAACAATTGAATATGGATTAGATTTTGTTTAATTGAATAGAGAAGCAAGTGTTTCAGATTCCAGACTAGAATACAACAGTTCAATGAGATAAAGTCACAGTTCCACAGTTCTTTTCAACTCACATGGTAAATGTAACTAAATATTATTGCTTATTTTTAGTGGAAAATACTCAATGCAATTTGTCAGGAAATTGCACTGTTATTATTCACAATTTTCACATTTTCTCAAGAATAGCTATCAAATCGACGACGCATATAAACAAAATGGTCGTTGCCTTGTATCAATTTCTGAAATGCCAGTCTTTGAGCTTTCTGCGCATTGCGCAGACATGTTTTGATAAATTAAATTTGGATGAAATTTTCCATTAGCAGTCTAGGTTTACGGTTATGTCAATGTTCCGATCAGCTGTCAGCTGTTTGAGTAACGACATCATCGGCAGAAATTCTTTAAAGGAAAATATATTTTTCTCATGGATTCCAAAGGCAAACATTCCCATACCAATGAAAAGACTACCAAATCATTTTTCCATTGGAAAACAAAATGTCGATATGATATGTTATATGACTAGCAACCCTTTTTATAAAAAAATCGATCCCAGGGATATTTTTGAATGTTCATTCATATAAGTATGCCGTAAATCAGTGTTTCTCACTCAAAGTGTGCGCCGCGGCGCCGTGAAACCTTTACTGGGGCACCGTGGGCCACGGGTGAGTCTCAAGGTACAACGTTTTACAACATAGATAACTGAGAATAAAGGTAATACGTCGGTACCTTTTAATAAAAATCCTCTGATAATATGATAATATCGGTAATTGCAAAATGCAATCCGTTCAAAAAGCCACCTACATACTTTTATTAATTGAATATCTAGTGTAGTCTTTACGTTCGTGGCGCCGCAATAACCTTCAAAAAACATAAGGGAGTTGTGAATTCGAAAAGTTTGAGAAACACTGCCGTAAATGTTTCTATTCACTACGATTTCATTACCGGAAACACTATTTCCATTGTTTCTATGCTTTTCAATTCATTTTCTTGTTTGATTTCTTTTTTAGTTGCTACTTTTCATTCCATCTCAACCAATCAAGAATGGTAGAAATAGAATAGCGAGTGAATTTGAAATCAAAAATCATTTGTTGAAAAGCTTGTTAGGACCTCAAAATACTGCCAACCTTATTCTCGATTATTATTTTTTTGGTGAATAATTCTGGCGATTCTTCCGATGCCGAATGGATTCTGTGAGGGTTTGAAGAAACATTACTACAGAGAAGAATTTCTACCGATGATATCGCTCGTCAAATAGCCAACGGCTGATCGGAATAACTGAATGTTGAACATAGGTTATATTTGTGGAATTGATGGTTTCAAGTGCATTTATAATAGATATGTGGAATTAATGAAATACTTTTACGCAAGGGAAGCACAAGAAACCACAACAATGTAGGAGAACAGTTGACAGGACTTTGTTTTTGTTTTAACATCTGGCTGAGTTTCAATATGTTCGGTAGATGTCATATCTAGACCATGAACTTTACAACTGATTTGTCTGTGGGTTCGCATTTGACAGTTTTGACAATAGACGAGTTTTCAAATTCATCGACGGGCCGTATCCTCAGAGTAACAAAAGACAATTATTACTCTGAATCGCCAACACTGTCATCAGAATAATTGACAAGTGAAAGCTTCTCGCATGATACAAAGATGCTCAGAGTAATAATAAGACATAGTTGCCATGCCTATACCAATACAATACATGTATTTTGAAGCGGGTATCGGACTATCCTTTTCTGTACAACTTATGGGCGAGGGGGGGTGGCGGGTAATGTTTACATTTGAAGTAAGTTGGACCATAAAACAGTGGCGGTTGGTTTAGTTGATAATCGGAGGGATATTATATATTTATAAAATAAATCATTTCAGGTGAAAATGTATTCTGTTCGAATAGTTCCTACAGGAAATTTTTTTAATTATTTATTAATGATTATGGAAATGAGGCCAGGTTTTCTACCACCTGCTAGATTTTTATTTATGTATGGCTTTATATAATGAAGCGCATGCGGTTTACTGGGTTAAAATTAAATTAATTCAAATGAACTAATTCATAACAATGATAAATGTTAATTTGAAAAGTAATGAACTTTGCTTCATATAATCAGATGAAGAAATTTGTGATTTATTCTCAGATTTGATGAACAAGCGGTACGGTTTTTGAGGTCCTATATAAAGAATTTTCGATTAGAAATCATGAATATTTATAATTACGATTGAGGTTTCATATTATTATGTGATTTCATACAAAATAGGTATCCAGGGGTCTCTGTGGACCAACATTATGTTTTTTTTTCAATAATTCATGCTAACATGACCCCTAGATACCAATTTTGAATGAAATCACATGATAATACCAAATCTCAATCGTAATTATAAATTTTCATGATTTCTAATCGAAAATTCTTTATATCTGACCTCACAAACCGTACCGTTTATTTATCAAATCTGAGAATAAATCACAAATTTCCATAATCATTAATAATAAATCAGATTTCCTGTAGGAACTATTTGAACAGAATACGTTTTCACCTGAAATGATTTATTTTATGAATATATAATATCCCTCCGATTATCAGCTAAACAACCGCCACTGTTTTATGGTCCAACTTACTTCCCGTAAACAAACAAAGTTATGCTGCCTTCAATGTAAGGTAGCATCTTTTGTCTTTTGTTACTCTGAGGTTGGCGACCATTGAATAGCGAAAAGCACACATTTTCATCTGTCATTTTCATACACAATTTTTTTGCCTTGGAGCAGCACTGATTATAGGTTAGAGGTAGGAAGCTATTTTACTGTCATTGTACACTTCAAGAATTTTAAGATGAATTATTCTTTCATCAGCAATTTTAATTCCATAAATATTGTTGAAGTTTACAACAGCCTGTAGTGTTTTTTTGTAGTTATTGTGTACATCTGATGAATTATTTATCAAAATAGTTCGAATGTGAAGATAAATTAAAAATAGGTGAGAATTTAGTCAATTTTGATCCTACTTTTTTCTTCAAATCATGAAGTACAATGACAGAGAACTGGTTAAATTCGGAGAAAATAAATGTGAGTTGGAGGGAATTCTCCACCACATGAAACCACTGGAAAATGACTGGTCTGACTGGTACCAAAGGCCTTCTTTCAAGGAAAGGTATTTCAAATTGATATCAAACATTTTATTCTACTACCGACTGGGCGAAGAAGAACCAATGGGAATTCTAGTATTAGAGAATGCTCAAGTGGCTTATGAACGTCCCCACAAAGGTATTCCATTTGCTTTTTCCATAACCTTCAAAGTTAATGATAGATTTCGAGATGATGAAGCCAAGCATATATTTTCTTGCCGCTGTGATTCAGACGTAAGTAAATGGGTATCGGCACTAAAAATGGCATCATACGAGTATTGGAGATCACAGTATGTGATTTTAAAAACCAAAATCAGTATGAAGACAGGAAAGGATCCTGTTCTAGAATACATTAAGAGTAAAAATTCCACAAATAATGTGAATCGAACTGAGGTCAAGAAAACGAAGATGAAAGAGACTAAATCCACTTTTTATAGTCATATTGAAACTACATCGTACAGTGAAAGAACATATTCTTCAAGAAAAGTTACCTCAAGTGATAACAAAGTTACTGTTGAAAATTTAATCAATCTATGAGTGTTTAGATACTAGAAGTATTAGTTTTTTCTGTGAATTTTTGAAAAGATCTCTTTATTTATGTTCTTGTAATAGTAATATATGAAGATGATTTCCCGAGTCGAACTTTTTTCTAATATTTTTCCAATAAAACTTCCTACACACCTAAAGGGTGTGTAGGAAGTTTCTTCTCAGATCTACATCATAATCATTATCTCAGAAAAAAATTAGTAATCGTGTTTGACACCAATATGAAAACAAACGTTCTGAAGGACAGAAATGGTCTCATCAATGAAGCGCATCATTAAATTTACTTCAGGAGGTATCTTCAGGCCAGTACAACAGGCCCTGAATATTATAACTAAATGGACCAATGAAGAAGGCCTGAACACAATCACAACAGATTCAACTATAGTAGTATTCACCAAGATGAAAACATGAGGTATCTTGAAGTCAGTAAAACAGGCCCCGAATATTGTAACTGAATGGACCAATGAAGAAGAGCTGAACATAAGCACAACAAATTCCACCAGTCAAATTTTGCTCTGCTTGGTTAGATTCCAGGGTGGGCCAACCCAGACAGGCCAAGTTACATGTTGAAAAACTTACAGAATAGGGTTGTATAACAGATACCTTAGCTGCAGGAAGTGCAACAAATGGACCAGAGACAGCTCTTCATATTTCATGTGAATGTTAGGCACTGAATCAAAGGAGACAAACAATTTATGTGCACTCAAAATATGTCCAGAAGAATATGTCATACATCTAGCAAAAGACCTTTACAAACTATTTTAGGCTATAAGATGGTTGGAATGGGTGTCATGAAAAAGATGAGAGAAAAAGGCAGTAAGTCCATGAGGTTGCAGTGCTTTTTGGAAACTTGGAAGAAATGGAAAAGTCAGACGGCTCTCAAGCAGTAAAAATAAAAAAAGACCAGTAAAATATTGGAGATGACATTTTTACTTTTCTTGCAATTCTTTTTGCATTTCAGAAAACTTTTGTTTCTGGTATTTTAAATTCTTTATTCCAAACCATTTATGATGGAAATTGACTTCTGAAGTAATGATAATAGTGACAATAAACCCTAATTCCTTATTTTTATGTTTCAGGTAGCATTATTGCTTTTTTATAAGAGTAGGATGAATAACATATCCTTCTTTCAAATACTTGTTGCCTCATATTATGTAGGTCATAAACTACTTGCCGGAATATAATAATAAAAAACCAACATCTAACGACCATTTGACCATTATATTTGCATGTCTTGTATTTTTTACTGTGTTTCTGAAAATGTTATAATAAACATGGTGAATATTGATACTCTTTTTCCATTTACAGATCATCCCAAATTTGTGAGTCACTAATTGTCTGCTGAAATAATGATAATAATGAGCGTGAATCTTATTTTTGTGTTTCTGGTACCATTATTGCTTTTTCAAATAAGTTTCTTACAAGTGCAAGAATAAGATCTCCTTTTTCCAAATACTGATTTTCTCATATTTTCCAAGTCATAAACTACTTGTGGAAATTATAATAAAGACAAAAAATCTACCGATTATTATATTTGGGTTTCTGGTATTTTTTATTGTGTTTCTGAAAATTTTTATGATTTAAATGGTGAATATAGATCCTATTTTTGATTACAGGTTGTCCCACACCTTGTAGGTCACAGATTGTCTGTTGAAATGATGATAACAATGACTGTATCCTTTCGTTCATTATTTTGATGTTTTTTGTATCATTGTTGCTTTTTTATTTATCTGCATTTTTTTTATTATAGGTAACAGTAAAAATACCAGTAAGGCAAATATAATGGTCGTTAGGTTATTGATCTTTATTCTTTATTATCATTTTGATGAGTAGTTTATGATCCTTAATATGAGTCAACAGATATTCGAAAGATGAAGATGTTATTCATCATACTCATGAGAAAATTATTCAAAATAATAATAATGATACCAGAAATGCAAAAATAATAAATGCAAGATTTCTTGTCATCAATATCATCATTTCGGCAGGAAATTTATCTCCAACAAAATATGAAACAACCCATATTCAAAAGGAGACATTTTTCATCATGTTAGGTCTTCATTCTTCTTCAGAAGTTTATGACCTACAAAATTTGGGAAAACCGGTATTGTCAAGAAGGAGATATTATTTATTATGCTTGTGAGAAACTTCCCTCAAAAACGCATCAGTCAATAGTACCAGAAACACAAAAATAATGAATGAAGGATTTATGGTTTAAAAATCTGTTCAAAATCTGTTTTCCTTTAGTCAATAGAAGACAATCATTATTTATAACTGGCATAAAAAAATTCTCAAAAATGCAAGAAAGAATATCAGAAACGCAAAAACGTCATTAGATTTGTTTTCATGATTATTATTTTGGAACGTAATGTATGATCTACAAAATATCGATCAACTTGTCTTGGAAAAAATAATGTTACTTCTCTTCATTCACAATGGAAAAGTTGTTTATAATGCAAGAAGAAGTGTTAGAAATGTAACTATATGATCTTCAATATAGATATATAGAAATAAATTGCAACCTTATAATCTGTTTGGTTTATAAGAATGAAAAATTGTGTACCCTTCAATTACTCAAAAATGTTATAAAAGGTCCAGCAGATAATTTTACTGGCAACACGATATTGTAACTACATCGTGTTTGAAGTAAATTTAATGCCGCCAGTTCATCTACGGGACCGTTTCTATCCATCAATGCGTTTCTGTTTTCACACCGATTCGTAATTAAGTAATTAATTAAATCCACATATCGAATAATTATTTCTCGAAATTTACTAATTGTTTTGTTGTTCATGTTTGAACAGACTACTTCTGAACCCAATGTTCTAATTCTTCCAATTGATTACGATTCGGATTACATTAGACTAAAAAACAATATAAAAAATAATACTATATACTGCTCCTAACTTATACCTTTCTCAGAGAATTAATTGAAAAATCGTATAGCAAGCTGAACCTGCAAGTTTCTGCAACTTATCTAAAGTTATTTATTTTACATTTTTACGAAGCCAAGTATTCACTTCCTCTTCATTTTGCGACACCCAGTTCATATTCAGTTGAATTATTTCCAAACTTTGGTCCAGTGCTCTGGTAGCTGATCCTACATTCATCCCATTGAAATATGTTGAAACCTGTAAGTATAAAAAGTTCAAATTGAAAATTCAGTCATCACCCGAAGACGATTGTGGATACTAACAATCGAAACGTCGTGATGTAACTTGGCTTGAAATCTTTTAATTTTTATTTCGTTTTAATTTTTCATTACAATTTTTTTGCTTAATTTTTCATTTTATTGTATTTCATTTCAGAGTTTTTTGCTTGATATAATTGTTATTTTCTGCTATTCTTGTTAATTTTCATTTGTTATTTCAGAGATTTCAAATTATATCATATCATTCTAAACAAAGGAAGTCCGAACTAATTAAATTCACCATGAAACATTGTCCACAACCTTCAAACTTACTATAGGGTATTTCATTATTTGTTTCCTATTTTTAAATTTAAATGAAACAAAGTGTGTATGAGATATCACGGAATTTTTTATTCGATTGAAAGACGCATTGATGCAATTATGTGCGTTATATAACATCGTTCATATGTCCGCCACGGCTTCTCTGGGTGGAGTGCATCCGAAACGTCTAATTTTACATGACTGGCGCATAAATCAGTCTGAATTTGACCGATGGTATGGGTTATGTTGGCTTTGAGGACCGCTGTAGCTTGTGGCTTATTCGCATACACCTGCGACTTGAAAAAACCCCTCAAGAAAAAGTCTAACGGGGTCAGATCGCACGATCTCGGTGGCCAGTTCACATTACCTCCATGTGAAATGACCATGCCTTCGAATCGCTCGTGCAGAATATCCAATGTGGCATGAGCTGAGTGACACGTATCTCCGTCCTGTTGAAACCACATGTCGTTGGTGTCCAGATCATCCAATTCAGGTCAAAAGAAGTTGATAATCATCGACCTATAGTGCTTGCCGTTGACAGTGATGGACTGGCCAATGTCGTTCTCAAAGAAATATGAACCGATTACGTCGCCAGCCCAAAACCCACATCAAACAGTGACTTTTTCGTGATGCATTGGACGCTCTTGATCTCATGTGGATTGGTATCGTCCCAAATTCGACTATTTTGTTTGTTTACGTACCCATTCATCTAGAAATGGACCTCATCGCTGAAAATGATTTTTAGATGAAAATTGGGGTCAGTTGTCAACCCATTCAGCGAACACACGTCGTTGTTTATGGTCGTTTACCTTCAGTTCCTGAATTTTGTACGGGTGCAGGCCCAAGTCACAAGTTTGCCAAGTAGTGGTCTGCGAAAGGCCGAGTTCTTGTGAGTGTCGCGAAATCGACTGTATTGCATTATCCTGCACTCTCACAGACAGCAGCAGCAACAGCAGATCTTGCGTTTCGTCGACGTACGGGTGTTGGTCGATAGTTTACTGAACCAGTGGACTCAAATATATCCACCACGTTGCGAATAATCCTCTCGGTAAGACGATTATGGCGACCGTTGAATGGGCAAAGCGCGCAGTACGTTGAACAGACTACTTCTGAACCCGAATAGAACAGACTGAATAAATGACTACTAATTTGACGGATGTAGCTCCAACAAGATGACCGTTATCAATTCTCAAAGTTCGGAAGTCCCTGTTGGAAGTTCATTTCAATCAGCGTATTGCAACTTGTGCTGCAGCTTTTATAGTAATGAGCGGTGAATATTTAAAAGCAAACAAAAATAAAGAAAAAGACGATGGTGGATGACGTCTTTGTATAAAAGTCGAAGTAGGTAAGTAAATCTGGCTTATAAACGTCGTCAGTTCCGGAGCCAGTTCCACTGCTTCTTTCAACTTTTTGCAACAGTTTTCGATAAGTTGCCATCAGCGTTTCTTTCTTCTTTTTCAGAAGAAACATTTCATACTCAAATTGCTTTCAATCCGTTTCCAGCTTTCGTGCACCAAATTTCTGTTTTTATGCTTCGGATCCTTTGGGTTCCATATAGCTGGTTCCCCTTCCCACATAGCAATAGATATTCCAGGTATATTTCATGAATATACACTTAGGGATATTGTATTATGCTATGAATATGCCATGGATATATATATATCTTCTGGAGAATATTCCCTGGAAGTGCTCCTGGCGAACCTTTGATATATTTTAAGAATATTCCTTGGGAATATTCTTGGAATATCTTATAATATTCTTAGAATATCTAAGGTATATTCTATTAAGAATATTCCAGGAATAGAACCCGAGGAATATTCATAAAATATTCAGGATATTCTTAGTTTATTGTAGGAATATACAATAGAGAAACACCATAGAATATTCTTTAAATATATTTTATGAATATTCTAGGAATATTTGGAATATTCCAAGAATGTGACGAGTAACCGCTATTAGGCATGTATATATNAGTCAAATTGCTTTCAATCCGTTTCCAGCTATCGTGCACCAAATTTCTGTTTTTATGCTTCGGATCCTTTGGGTTCCATATAGCTGGTTCCCCTTCATATAGTTCCAAAAATTCTAGAATCAAATCGTTAGACCACTCCATTCTGAAAGTAAAATTAAAGTGAAAATAGGAAAATTTAAAAACATTGGATGCACTAGCCACCTTTTGACAACACAACGCCACTGCAAATGCAAGCATTCTGTGTGGGAACGGATTCACAAGCTCGGACAAGCCGAGCCTGCGATGCTCGTTCATCCTTTGACTCGTGCCAAATTTACCGACAACCGACGGGAACGCCAAGCCGCTTGGCGAACGGGCGAGCCTTCGCATTTCCACGGCGCGTGACTCGCCAATTCGCGAGCCAGACTCGCCAAGTCCCGCGCCGTTGGAAGCTGGCTTGATAGACCTGTATCGGAAAATTGTGTTTTGTTCGGAATGAACGGAGTTGATGTGGTTTAGGAATGTATGTAGATTTTCGAATCCATGAGGCCATATAACAAAGTCTTCTATGTAAAGGTTTGCAAGGACTGGAGAGAGTGGGGAACCCACGAGGGCGTCTTTCACTTGTTTGTAAAATTTGCCCTGGAAAAGGAAATATGTGCTTGACATGCACTGGTTGATTAGTGGAGAGTTTTCAGGAATTTGGTGTTTCGTTTTTGACGACGGATAGGGTTCCAGATACTGGGATATTCCTGAAAAGGGTGTCTATTTGTTGGATATTGAAGGACTTTAGGATTTTAATGAATTAGACATATGATGAGGACTGTTCGGCCAGTGGTTGGAGAGTATTAGCAATATGTTTGGCCAGAGCGTGTGTGGGGGATCCGAAGGCACTGACGATGGGATGGACGTCTTGTCTTTCGGACTGCCCCTCACTTGTTGAAGCGTACGTGCAGTTTTGAAAGCCACTCATATATTCAATTTTTTGAATTTTATTGGTGTTTTTGGGTTTATATGGAAGCACTATGAATTTTGAATTTTTCTCTTTTCGAAAAGTCGAGGCATTACGAAGATATTCCCTAAATTTTTGTTTTCTAATTAATTTATCCACTATGTTTGATGGATACCCGTTGCATTCAGCCACCTCTCTAACAACAAGAGTGGATTTCCAAACTGCACGTACACTTCAACAAGTGGGGCCGTCCGAAAGACAGAACGTCGGAAAAAGAAAAGTTTGGGATTTACGAAATAAGTTGCGAGGATTGGAACATGTTTCGCATGTTCGGTTTCATAGACCGGAAAAATCTAGTGTCGCTCAACATGCCACAGAAAACGACTGTAGAATAAGTGAGAAATGTTTAAAATTGTTGTGACCGGTACATGACAACAGGTTTCTAGATGCTTTCAGAAGCTTGCTGAATGTGCGAAACGTGCTGAATGAGTTCTATTAATCGCGACAAAGGTCCTATTTTGAACAGCCCTTTGTTTGGTCTTAGGTATACGTAATAATTATCATTAAAAAACCGATAATTATTAGATGATCACTAATATAGAGGAAATATGTAACAAATTTGAGGTATTCAAACACGTAGTTTAGCCTAGGATTAGTAACAGGTAGTAGTTAGGTAATACTAGCCGGTGTAGTTCGGTAATACTACTAGGTAGTAGTTAGGACACTAGCATTTAAAAACACTAACATAGTAGAAAAATTTAGTCTCAATGATCTCCTGATAACCCTAACTTGGTTAGCGAAACGCGCGTCGAGAAACCGTAATTTTTTTTCTGGTGTTGGGAAAGTGTTTTCAATAGATTCATTTTTCGCCAGAGGTTCCAGTACGAACTATCAAGATTCTGAGTTATCATTTTCAGTTAATAGCTCAGAAAATGTAATAAAGGATTCAAATGACGTTTCCACTACTGTAAATGAAGCTATATCTACCAGACCCAAAAGAATTGTTGAAGGCATAGATCGGCTTAATTATGAATGTCTATAGAGGCTCTCAAATATATTACAATTGTTCATTTGAAGGGGGAAATATAGAAGGTATTGGTGTGAACCATAGTGCAAGTTAATCATGAGTAGTTTTAGTTTTTATGTATTGATGTAGGTATTCAAGTACAGAAGACTCGAAGAGTTACAGATTGTTTTATGTTGTAGTGGGGAAATGAACGTGAAAACAGAAACTACTGTCTTGAATTTGTGTTAATGATATCACATATCCATCTCAACCCTCAAATTAGGGAAGAATACATTACAGTTACATGAAAGCATGGTTTCATATTAAGCTTATAACTTGTAATGAAATCATAATGTTTTATTGTTTCGAAAATAAATTTCAAATCAAGGAAACTGAACGAACTGTTGTTACCTCGTAAAAGTCATATCGTGTTGACAAATGTGCAGTGACTGCTGATATGAGGTTGCCCATCAGTATGGTACTATTTCCATAGAGGGAGTGCATAGTTGGCCAATAAGCTTTCAGATGTCTCCAGGCCAAAAGACGTCCTTCGGGATTGGCTGCTACCACTTCTAATACAAGTATTACATCTTCAGGTTTCACGACGTTTTTATCAAGAGTTTCCATCAGATATCTGGAGAGTAGTGAAAAAAATGATCAAAATCAGAAATATTACAGTCAGATATTGAAGTAATTTATTTTAAATTAATAAATATAATCAAAGGATGAACTTTGACTTATGCAAACCTCTGTAGAAGCCAGGGATCCGAAGCAACTCCTAGAGCTTGTAACAAGAGTCTTTTTTCACTGGATGATGATGTATTTTTGTAATAATTCCAGCAGTACTGCCATTCAGTCATTCCACCATATTTGATGCCTGCAGAATAAACAATTTCTTTCAAATTAGGGTCTATGGACTTATTTTGAAGCATCCAGTTTTGGAAATGAACTTTCGCACTAGATATTGTATCATTCAATTCGCATAGTATGGCAGCAGATAGAACCTTTACTCTCAGCAACCTGAAAATGAGAGACAGTGTTAAAAAATTGACACTGAACTTTGTCAAATGGTTAATAGTCCTTCACAACATGGTCAATTCAATGAATATTCCAACTTCTTTCATGTATATACCTAATATCAAAATACTTTGTATCAGTTTTCATCTAATCAATACCTTTTAAAAAACTATTCGCATGCCAGCCTGAGTGTACCTACTCAAGATTGTAAGCGAAAGTATAGTTACTCCATTTTTTTTTCAAACTGTGCCAACAGCTTCCGGTAGTTCTATTAACTACTATAATGGTAGTGTGGTAATGGTCTCTGTTAACCACACTACCATTATTATAGTTTCGAACCTACTTCTTCAAAACGTCTTTCCTTTTTACGTCTTTCGAAGAAATTCAAGAGCTATATTCAGATACAATTGTAGATTTCGGATAAAGATATTGTCACCAACTTAAAGGCAATCGTATTTGACCTATTTTCACCTGGTTTTTTTCTGTCACCGAGCAAGAAGTTCCGTTATACATAATTGGATAACCTTGAACTTCAATGTTATTTCAGTGTCTGACTTATTATCATTCTCACACACACACCCACGTACACAGCCAACAATATCATGAGGCATAAAAGACCCTATATCTCAAATAACTCAGGGCTTTATCAAGTCTAAATCCGGCCCTGTGGATTCAATTACTTATTTTTGTAGTTTTGTCAAATCGACTTAAGATTGTCGCATCAATGAACATCCAGTTTCAGAATCCACTATTCAACATTACGTACGAAAAAAATCATAGGCTATGATGAATGAGATTGAAAAACTTCTTCCTGTATCCAATTCACTTACTTTTCGATATGTGATTTATTTTTGTTCCATCCAACGTACTTTGTTACTGGAGTTAGTAAATGCCTCATATATCTCAGGAACGATTTGTAAGCTAATGATTCAGACAGTCGACGAGCCCATGCTTTCAAATGTTCCAATGCAGCAGCCCAAGGGGCATAATCTCTCTCGTTTTTCAGGTACAAAGATAGCTCTAGAGCTACACTGGCGTTCAGAATGCCCGCCCTGAAAAATTAACAGAATTTAGTTAATAACTTACGATTATTAATTGTCAAATAATACGACTATAGTTTGTTTTTTCAAAAACTACACCTCACGATTTGGTCTCCACAAACTTTATTTGAAAAATATATCAATATATCATATATATTCAAGTGATTTCAATCACTTGAAAAATCTACTGTGATAGCAAAATATATTGTGATATATTTATCAAATAAAGTTTGAAATTACTATGGATCTTCATCAAGTAACGGCCGAATCAATCAGAAGACTATAGTTTGTTTACCTCGATAATGCAAATGCGTCATCGATCAAGCTTGCTCTATCTGCAGCATTGAATGTTTTGTGATTGGTCTTCAATATATGTATCAATGACTGCCACATGTCGTCATCATACATCACCCTATAGAATCCAGTTTGATTTACATTCGCTTTGATCCATTTGACGTCAGGATTCAATTCAAATCGAGCTAAAAGTAAGTTTTCATACGCTGGTTCGAATTAAATCGTACACACTTACCATCCGTCATATTCATCCAGACATACTTAATTTCGCTGTCATTATTAGTAAAGTATGTCAAGGGAATGTACCATTTGTAATCGTATGGGGAGTTTAAAGAAGCATGGAGGGAATTATTGATTCGTTCTGCTGTTACCAGAAATCTTGTTTGACTAGCAATAATTTCATTTTCTTCTCGTTTTAGAGTTATTAGTGGAAACCCCATTTGATTCGTCCATGTTTCCATGATTGTCTGCAAAAAACTGGCTAGTAAAGCATGATGGATAATATCAGCATCTTTTTTAAGGTATGAAAACAGGTATATAAGAAACATAGTACTGGAAAAACCTTTATAAAGGAACCGTTCACGATGGGAAAGAAATAACTGCTTCAACAAAGCAGGTATTGACTCACAGTAATAACACTGGCCTCTCTAGACACTGTCCATTGAGGGAATACTCAAACAACAGAGACCTTAGCTGCAAGCAATGCAGCTCGTCATATGTTAGGCACTGGAGGTGTGAGGCACTGGAAAATGCAATAAGCCTATGAGGATGCAAAGTTCTCTGGAAACTTGGGAGAAATGGACAAGTCAGACGGCTACAAGAGGTGAAAAAAATTACATATTGATAAAGTTCCTCGAAGAGACTCTCAACTTCCGAAACTATGGTGGTCTTTTGTTCTTGAAAATCCACCGGTCTACCGTCTTGGTCGAGCGCCAAAACAATATGAGTAACTTCACGTTGCGGAATAACAGCAGGTATTATAAGTTAGAAGACGTTTCCTTCTTGGCGTAGCAGGATCGTCTTGAATAATAAATTTGTGGGAAGACGTGTGATCGTTGAAGGCTCTCCAAATGATGATAATGATCGTTTTATTATTTTTACGTTTGTTTGAAGACGATTGACAATGTTTTATGGTGCATTTCTTTAGTTCGGACTTCCATTGTCTAATATGATATAAAATGATTTGAAATCCCTAAAAGAATCAATAACATTCAAAAGAATAGCTGAAAATAACAATTATATTAAGCAAAAAACCCTGAACTGATATTACAATGAAATAAATTCAAGCAACAATTGAAAAATTAACAATTAACAAGAAATAAAAAATTAAAATAAAAAAAACTAAAAGATTTCCATCCAAGTTACTTCACCGTGAAGTAACTTGAAGTAACTTCAGAGATAATATCAAAATGAGGAATGAAGTTTAACTTTTGTGGTATTTACTACCACAAGATTTGCTCTTCCATGCTGCATTCGAAACGAATTATCGAAACTTTCATATTGTTAAGTAAGGTTGATCTCACTCAAACTTGTCCTTTAAGCAACGTATTTGTGGTTCAGCATATATCACCATTGATGAGGCCTATGGCGGGTCGAAACAGTGTTGTCTGATGTTGAATCACAAATGCGATGTGTTTGAGATCTGATTTTTCGCTTTCATATTGTAACGAATCTGAAGCCGCCCCTGACCGATACGCCAGCCCACCTGCATGGAAAAAACACATGAACTCACCTAAAAAAAATGCATCGGAAACCGCCGGTGAAATTTTAGTACCGAACCGACTACAGAATTTTAGAAAGGACCTTTACCAATATAAGCCCGTCTTCCCGACCCAAGACAGTTCAGAAAGTGAATCAAGCGGCTAAACAAGAAATTGAAATAGTGGAAATAAATTTAGCGTTAGTTGCTAAGTATTGTAATAAATAAATTAGTTTGTGATTATTGAAATATTGTTGGAAATAAATTTGTTTGAGACAGTTAATTCATTAATTTATAACAATATTGTTCATCGGCAAATATGAAGAATGAAATCGATTTGGCTGAAGTACTTTGTGAAAGAAGCCTAAGGCGCTAATATTATCAGGTTTCTCGAACGATATCTTGTAATATTTGCTATAGATTTTTACATGTCACTCTCGGCAACTGCGATGTCATAACTGATTAGAATGGCATAGGTCTAGGGTTTTCAATAGTATTTATGTGTTGCAATTCATCCAAGTTAAGTCATAAAATTCCATATTACAAAAATTCACTTAGTAACTGCACAGCGAAAATAAGTTTCAACTCTTTACGTTCAGCCTCAGGCATTTCAGGGCAAGAGATGAGTCATCGTGATTTTGCACCTATAGGAATCGTAAACAAAGATTGCCACAGTTGATTTGAGTGTACATTTGATATTGGTCGATGTTTTAGAAAACTCTTAACAATTTTTCCGAAATATCGAACTAGATCCTCTCATCGACTTCAGATTTTGCAATGAATCGAAATACTAAATTTCATAATTCATTTTACTTGATTTTCATGGTTTTGCGAAACGTCCAAATAAATACTGCATTTTTGCATTATCGTGGAGACTGAGAAAAATTATCTTGTATGAAGACTCTTGCAGCATTTTCAATAATCGAGCGTAGTGACGAAATCATAAGAATAAAGCTCTCAATTGGTTGGCTTTATTGAGAATTTGGTGTTTATTCAAATAGAGTCCATATATATACCAGTAGGTATACAATACACATTTCACGTCACCGGAAGTCAGCCGTCAGCTTGGTGAGTTGAATTGTTGATGGGGTAAAATGATTCTCCATCAGAAGTCAATGAAGGTCATTTGCCATGTACCTACCGCTCTTGGCGGAATCAAATGTGCAAAGTCACTTGAACAACGCACGTGAAAGTATTTATACAAAAGAGACAAATCCTGACATTATTATATCCGGTTCGGAGACATTTTTCTTCTTGGAGAAAACCGATGCCTGGGTTTTTGTGGCATTGAATTGAACCTTGTTACTTTCACCCCAATTCGAAATCACTTCTAGATCCTCTTCAAGATATGCAACCTCCTGCTGCCAGTGAAGATGTGCTTCCGTAACCGATGCCTTGGAATCCAAATGGAATGACGAGAGTGTGCTGTCGTCAGCAAAGCAATATATTAGATTCTTGGTTTTTTCCAATAAGTCGTTGATACACAATAAAAAGAGGGTTGGAGACAATATGGATCCCTGGGGAACACCAGCGTTGATGGTAAAAGGATTCGAGTGGTATCCATCGACGGCCACTTGCAGGGAACCTTCTTCCAGGAAGCTGAAGAGCCATACACAGAAATGATCTGACAAGCCATAGCATCGAAGTCAAAGGTCTTAGAAATATCAAGCGCAACAGCTCTTGATTCTCCATGTTTCTCCATTACGTTGTTCCAAATATGGGTGACAAACGATAGAAGGTCGCCTGTTGATCTTTGTTTCCGAAAGCCATATTGCCATTCTGATCAACATCTTTAGCTACCGACCAGAAGGATTTAGACACGTTGGGATTGGCAAGCAGTTTATCCCTAATTCTCTGATTGTGAACTTCTTTGCTTTATTTTATTCTAAGTTTGCAGCTGTCGCGAGCATTAATAAACCTAGTTTGGTTTTCAGCACTGGGATTTTTGCGCCACTGCCGGTAGGCGAGATTTTTGCTCGCAATTTGTGTTGAACTAAGGTTTGCCGTTACAAGGTCGTTTCTATCATCCATGGATGATAGAATAACTTCCGTGACTTCAGAAGCACAAGTTGATGGATCCATAGAGCTGAAACAAATATCTATCTATGGAAAATTTCGAAAATGATATTGATCTGTCAGCTGATCTGTAATGCCAAACTTTGCGCAGCTTTAATTGTTCCCCAACATTCATCAGTAATCCACTCAACACTGAAATGAGTTTATGGTCAGAAGATCCCAATGGAGACCTAACGGTGACTGTGATATTATTTTGGTGGTGATCTTCTGTGATATTATTTTGAACCACATAACATCAGAGTTTCAGGGTTACAGAATTTCCTCTCGTTGACAGGACATATCGCTTCTGATAAAAAAAAAATATTCCAAAGTTACGTCTGAATCAGGAGTAGAAATGATGGGGTTTGTTGAAGCGCTGACTTTGATTTCAGTGAGTGCAATAATATGAGGACTATTTGATTGCAGACTGAGTTTATATTTGAGTTGAGTCCTCTGATGTAGAAATAGATTTTGAAGTTGCTAGTGGGCCTCTTAGCAAGTGTATTTACCATGCTATTTCCCTGTGGACTGATGTTAGCAAGACCCTGCTGACTGTCAGAAATAGTGGTTTTCGAATAAGGTCTTCAGGATGATGCCCTTGAATCAGCCCTCACCCGGAGATCCGATTGGGTAGCTATTTTACCCCCTGAGTATTTTGACCCTAAGAGCGCCATCATGATTTTTTCCTTATATTTCCACCCTTGAAACCGAAAACAGCGGCACAGCAACGAAACGTTAGCCCTAAAGCAACTTCACGCTGCCTAAGCCGTTGCGATGGTATCTCACCGGGCGATGCCAGGTGGGACCAGAATTTACCATCTACTACCATCTACCATGATCAAATTATACACACTATCGGTATCACGTGGGATCTTGGCATAGCCTAACCACAGCTTTTGCATTATACTCACGGCCTAGCGGGACAATGCACCGACCTGTAGTACAGGTCAACGGCAATTCCATTCCGAGCGATTTTCGTGAAATAGAATGGCGCTTTCTAGTCTATTGCTAAAACGTATGGGGTTTCTCGGTAAAGAATTGTGGTCTAGAAACCTCATATACATACTACTTTCATTTAGTAGACGATAATTATTGAAAATTTTGTACATACATTTTATATGAGAAAATTGACTTGATTCATACATTTTGGAGCGTGATTTTCCATTAGTCGAGTTTTAGTTTGTGAACTTTCATTTTTTCCTGAGATAGTTGTTATTTTGAGGTAATTATATGACCCTTGAACCTGACACGGAGTTTATTTTTTTCTCAAACATAGTATTGAAATAAATGTAAAACATTCAGCAAATAAATTCTGTAACTTCAGATACATGACTAAAAATTACACATTTCCTTCGGATATGAAAATAAGTTATTACCTACTTTTACATCAAGAGTTTGATTAACGTTTCTCGAAAGCACATTCCAAAGGTCCTTCGTTTCGGCATTTGAGTATTTAAAGGAGAGAAGATAGTCAGTAAGGCCATTTTGTAAGTTTTCATTTTGTAAAAAATTTGCCAACATGTACAAAATTGCAGCACCCTGAAAAACCAAGTCTCGTCATGACATAGGTACCAGCACCAAAGTTGGAAATATCGTACCTTATTTAGAGAAATAGTATCAAAAATAGCATTAATTTCAGACGGATCGTTTACAGTCGCAGATATGGGGTGGCTACTAACTAGTGCATCTAAGGCTAATGCAGGTTGTGTTTTATCGACAATAAATTGTTCCATCATCTTCCATTTTGGAAAATAGTCATTCATGCCAAGATACTCAAATAATGTAGTGAATCCTTCTTGTAGCCAATAATCGTTCCACCATTTCATTGTTACTAGATTGCCAAACCACTGAAAAGGCACATTTATATTTATATTCAACAATTAATAATGAACACGAGTTTTTTCTAGGCTACTACATACTTGATGAGCTAATTCATGAGCGATAATACTAGTAACCCATTGATGGGCTGAAATAGATGTTTCGTTAGAGTTATATAAAATGGCAGTTTCACGATAAGTTATGAGTCCCCAATTTTCCATGGCACCTTTCTCATAATCGGGAAGGGCTACCAAATCTGAAAACATAAAAATCATATCATGCTTCAATGACCTCAATGATGTTTTATTCTACGACTCATACTGAAAAATTTAAATAGCCTCCCCAGCTTTTAAAAAGGTTAATTTGAATTTTTGAATAATCTCACTAGAACAGTGTGTTTGTTGAACAAATTAATCGCTTTTGGATGGTATAACGGTCACCATATAAGTCTAGTGAACGGCTATATATACAGTTGATGAGGAATTACAAAAAATTATCTGGAGTTTCTATTCTATTGGAAGAATGAAATTTTAGAACCTAGAAATATAAATATCTTCTCATTTCAAACGATTACAAATAGTACAATTTTAGTAGTTTTACATTGCGAACTATATAATATTCGTGAAAATATGTTACCCTACACTAGCAATTTTGCAGGGCTGCTGGAAGCCAATGCTAGAGAAAGCTATTGTATAGCGGAACACGTGTCGTGGTTTTTGTAAAGCCCTTTATAGTGAAAATCATACAATAAACTGTATAATTTAGTTTCTTAATAAGGATTTTCATCAAATATCGGCCAGTTCTTTTCAACCAATGAACATACATGAAATTAATGGTAATTACTGAAATGTCTTTTCAAAAATTTCTAATGTAGTCTAAGACATCACTAAGAACCCTGAACAAACCTATATTGATATCTAGAAATTTTTGGCTATCAAGGGTGTATTTTTCTTCTGTCTACCAAGGAACTTCTAATTCTTTGCTGCCTAGGCTCTACGGGCCTTTGCTATGCCCGTAGAGCCTAGGTGGAACAGCTTCAGTTCTAAGAATGGCTTTCTGTGTGGTTCCCGACAGTGAGGAAGATCTTATGATTTTGTTCACGTTCCTTATCTTAGATTGCGTTGGGTCCCGTTGAAGTTTGCGATAGTTTGCCGGGTCTAGTAGTTCTTCAATTTTGTTGTTATATTCTTCCGTTTTCAGAATCACCGTGGCATTTCTTTTGTCTGCTGGAAGTATCGTGATGCTCTCATCAGAGTTCAAGCTCTTTAAGGCTGCAATCTCTCTTTTAGGGATGTTGCATTTAAGAGGTCGTGCCTTGCTCAGGATGTTTGCTGTTACAATCCTGATTTCTTCCGCTTCTTCATCCGGTAGATTCCTGATTGCCGCTTCTGAACCAGCGATAATTTCCTCGTTTGGAACCCGTCGTGGCATGATCGCGAAGTAATCGCCTCGTGCTAACACTGACGTTTCATCTTCAGTGAGAACCCGGACCGTTCACTTTATGACCACTCTGGACACGTCTAGACGAGGGGCCGTTGTAAATACAGCCTCGTGTAGTTTTTCGAACTTCACGGAAGAAATCAGGATTGTAACAGCAAACATCCTAAGCAAGGCACGACCTCCTAAATGCAACATCCCTAAAAGAGAGATTGCAGCCTCAAAGAGCTTGAACTTTGATGAGAGAATCAGGATACTTCCAGCAGACAAAGAAAATGCCACGGTGATTCTGAAAACGGAAGAATATAACAACAAAATTGAAGAATTACTAGACCCGGCAAACTATCGCAAACTGCAACGGACCCAACGCAATCTAAGTTAAGGAACGTGAACAAAATCATAAGATCTTCCTCACTGTCGGAAACCACACAGAAAGCCAGTCTTAGAACTGAAGCTGTTCCACCTAGGCTCCACGGGCTTCCGAAAATACACAAAGCCAACATGCCACTGAGACCGATAGCCAGTACCCCTACCTACCGACCTAACACTTGGCGAGACATCTGGCCTCGCTCCTACAACCCCATGTGGGAAAGACCACCTACGTCAAGGACTCGACAGACTTCGTTGGTAAAATTAGGGGCTTAACGCTGGAGCCGACGGATATTCTGGTCAGCTTCGATGTGGTGTCTTTATTTACCAATGTCCCACTGGAAGACTCTCTGAGGGGATTAGCCCACGTGTTCCCGAATCACATCGTCGAACTCTTTAAAGCATGTCTCACAGGAAGTTACTTTCAATTGGGGGGAAACTTCTATGAGCAACTAGATGGCGTTGCGATGGGGAGCCCACTTAGCCCAGTGATAGCTAATTATTTCATGGAACGCTTTGAAGGGAAGGCGATAGACACTTTTGAATTGAAGCCGACCTTATGGCTACGTTACGTGGATGACACCTTCGTCATCTGGAAACATGGAAGAGACACCCTGAACCGTTTCCTAAACCACTAGAACGCCCAACACCCGAGCATATAATTCACCACGGAGATTGAGCAAGACCAACGGATAGCATTCCTAGATGTACTAGTAGAACGATGTGGTACCAGACTGACCCACAAAGTGTATCGAAAACCCACACACACACAGATAGATACTTGCACGCACTATCGAACCACCATCATATCCAAAAGAGACGAGTTATCTGCACTCTAACGGAACGGGCTCGGAGAATATGTGAACCACAGCATCTGGAGAGGGAACTGAAATACCTGGAAGTGAGTTTGAGATGATCGAATGGGTACAGTGCCTCCGAGACCGAAGGGCAACACGGTTCGGAAAGCGAAAAAGGATCAGATGGTTGCACGCGCATATCTACCGTTTGTCCCTAGGGTCACGGATAGAATTGGAAAACTATTGGGCAAACACGACATCGAAACAGTCTTCAAACCCACGAGGAAGATACAACAAAGCCACAGGTCGGCTAAAGACAAAAGAGACCCATTATCAGCAGCAGGGGTCTATCGCATTCCGTGCACTTGTGGAAAGGTATATATCGGAACCACCAAACGATCCATGGGAACAAGACTAAAAGAGCATAAAAGGAACTGCAGAATAGGCCAAACAGACAAGTCAACTGTGGCAGAACACGCACTGAGTGAAGGAGACCACAGAATTTTGTTTGAAAATACAGAAATAATTGCCCCCAACCAGGGATACCATAGTCGACTGGCACGGGAGGCAATAGAGATCCACAAACACACGGATAATTTTAACAGAAAAGAAAAAGCGGTGAACCTCAATCAAATATGGAACCCCATTTTAAGGTTCCAGGCTCAAGTGCAGGTACGAATACAGGTACAAATGCAGGTACAAATACAGGTACAAATACAATTGATTACCTGATAAGGCATAAATACGCCTTACGAAGCCTAAAAGGTAGTCATCGGACAGCAAGCCATGATGGTTAAACCTCTGAAGAAGCCAGCCACTCGCACCAGCGAAACGTCAGGAAGAAATTCCAAAAATCCACGGCTTTCAAACTCGAAAAGCAATGACACAGAAAACCTCAGCCTTGAAAGTCTAAACCATTTTGTCAGTTATTTTAACACCTCGACACGTGTTTCGATCACCAAGTGATCATCTTCAAGAGGAAGATCAAACTGTTTGTAACTCCCTCTTGAAATTGATCACTTTGTGATCGAAACACCTGTCGAGGTGTTAAAATAACGGTTTGGTGTTGGAGAAAACTCTAGTAATATTCATTACTACAGCAAAGGTTCCCAACAGTGCATCATATTGTATATAAATAACAATGCTTTTATGAAAGGGATCAGATCAATTCTAGATCTAGATCTAGATCAATTCAAGTGCATTGGCAGGCGAGAGTAAACAAGTGAAATAATTATAAGGTGAGTTTGAGATATAGTGTATCGAATTGAATTTTTAATGTTGGGAGAAAAAATAAAATTGCTATATTTAACTAGTATACTATTTAAAGGACTTAGAATGTTTTGATTGAAACTTTTAAAAACTGAAAATTTGTAATCATTTTCGACAATTGATGTCAATTCTATGAATTTGTTTCTAATGGAAAATAATTTTGTACAAACAACGTCGAATATTACAAGTGGTAGTAATTCATATAATACTCTTGAGAACTGTTTCTGTTTCAGTTGATTATTTCGTACCATTGGGATTTACGGTATGACTATCTTACTTACCAAGTTTTGGAATTGGAAAGGCTACTCCAAAGAAGTTTTCATAAAAATCGAGAAGATGTGTAGTAGTATTAAGGGTGAAAAATGCCTGCGGAACATACGGTTTTGATGTATAAATGGATACAGAAACGCCATGTTCAGTGTGCTCGTTTTGCTGGGTGTAATCGCAAATCACAAATGCAACCAAATATGTGCTCATTTCTTTTGTTTCCAGAAAATCGTCACGTAACTGTAAAAGAAAAAATTAGTCAGAGGGAATGCAGGATCGTGAGGTAACTCACCAGACCAGTGCCCATATAAAATCCTAAGTCGTCTGTGTTCACTACGGGGGTATTAAAAAGAGTTATATGAAATCTGTCTCTGAAAATAGTTAATCTGAATTTAGCTTTAAAGTGGGGTTCGTCGAAACATGGAAATGCAGTTCGAGCATATTTTGGTTCAAAATGGGTCGAAGCAATATACCTAAAAAAAAAACAAATTAGTAATCATCGTTGAAAATAATGTAATATAGTGCATATATGATGCTTAAAAAATCATTTGGAGTATCCAATGGGACATCGAATCTTGATGATTCACTGATGACTGTCATGACAGTCATCGGTGAATCATCAAGATGAATAAATCTCTGAAGACCACTCGTGTTGGCGAAACGTTAGCAAGCAGTTACAAACTACGACGGCCTTCAAACCCGAATGAAGATACCACTGAAAATCTCAGCCGCGAAAGCCTTATCCAGTTCGCATTTGCGCTACGGGGAGGAAAAACTGAAATAATACATTCATCTGGACAAAGGTAGAAAAAGTAAGGTACGTCTACTTGAAACATTGACGTTCTTATGCCGCTGTCGGGACACAAATATCATACCTGCATTTCCAAAACTGAAGCGAACTATCAGATCAGCTTGGGCGAATATCATCTATTTAAAAAGTGAACGAGCCTTTTTGAGTCATCGGTGAATCATCAAGTGAATAAACCTCTGACGAGGCCAGCTACTCGTGCTGGCAAAACGTTGGGATGCAGTTCCAAACTGCGACGGCCTTCAAACCCGAATGAAGATAGTACCACTGAATTAAATTTTTGTTTTTGCATCCGTATATGCAGTTTTTGTTCGGTTCTTATCAGAACCTATTCAGGAAATTCAAATTGGTTTTTTTCAGAACCCAAATTGTGCTGAGGAAAAGCAAGCCGGCACTAAAATTACTCGGTCCCAGGTACCCAGTGTCGAAACCTTAAGATGTCAACATCGCTGCAGTATAATAGTAGGTTAAAAAACACAGACTGGGAAATCAACATTATCGTTTTCCTTCGGAATTGGCGACATGACTTGACCATGGGGTCCATCGTCAGTGCTCCGACTTCTTTTATCCATTCCTGCGAGCGGCCTTCATCCTAAGGTGCAGTTCAACGAAATAGGCTCCGTGATCCTTTACTCTGGCTCAGTTCACCCTGTAGGACTTGTTATGAAAATAGTTCTGGTGTAGCAAGGGTGAATTTGAAAATTTACAAAAAAGCGTGAATCATCCCTTCTGATTACTTTTTCCTCGTCAGTGATTTTAGGGAAACTGTGGAAAATGATCGAAATGCAGATTAGAAACAAAAAAGCGCGAGCGCAATCAATGAGAGTAACAGCTCAATATGCCGGCCAAATGTCTAGTTTCTCAGGCAGGATTTGACGCCTTCATGAGCCACTCAATGATCCCTGACAGGAGCCGGATGTCGTGTTTCCAGAAAACTACGCCTTCCATAGGAATGGTACCCCTGAACTTACAGTAAGAGTAACTCGCGTGAGGCTGAACCCTACTAGTAGAGTAAATCTTACATTTGAGGACATTGGTGCCTATGTTCTTATATAATTCTTAAGTTGCTAATCTGGCCCAGTACCTAGCTTCAAGATTTTGGTAACAAGTCAAAGGACGTAGAATTGAATTGATGTACCTGTCCTCGAAAGCGGAATTTGAGGAATTTATATTTGTGTCTTTCAACAAAAATTAACAATCGGTGAATCATGCAACACTATCATCGGTAGTCCTCTAATTCAAAATTAGAGCGGTTCAAGTATTTGTAATCTTCTTTAGAATTGATACGAAGAGAGCCACGTGGCTTCTTTGTGGGAACATTTCGAGAAAAAAAGCCATTCTCGTGTTTTAACGAAGCAATTGAAAGTTCACTAATAATTTGCTTGGCGACAATGATGATGACTATCTTTGGTTGAATTAAGAGAACATCCGAAAATATATCAGGTTGAACTAGAAGTTTTGCCCTTCCTACACCCGTGTAATGTTCTTCATTAGGTACCATTTCTTATTTTTTCAGATTATGGAAGGTCATAAGTCACATAAAAGGTCAATAAAAACTCTGATTTCTCCACAAAAATGACTTTTGTTCAGTATCACAAAATCTTTTTCGGGCTGGTCGATCTGTAAGAAGAATATTCAATAAGTGCCTGATGAAGTTTAGAGAACTTCTTGAAGTAATATGTATTGCTAGTTTGACTTTGCTATTTTACTGTATTTTTTTACGTTTGTAGCTAGATAATTGATGATCTAGAGCTCCAGAGGCGCATTATTTATTGGCGTGAAGTTATCCACAGATTTCTGGCCACACATGCCGACGTAGAGGAAAATAAAAATCTGTGGTTGGGATACAAAATTATTAGCACCCGTACTAATATCTGTGGCTGGAAATACCTATTCACTATAGGTTGAACGTGAAATTAATAAGACTATTTGGTGTTCAACATTTTTATAGACTCTTGAGTAGATTAAGGCGTTGATAATCCTTTTCTCATCAACAATACAGATTCAGGAAAAAATAAAATTGAAAATATTAGACTTACTTTCTAATACCCTATATAGAAATGATATCCGATGATGTACGTCAATCAAAATCACACAACTTCCATAGTTTCTTGGGAAGATCAACTTGGTGATAACAGTTTTCTTGTCATCTAAACAGATTTCGAAAAAGAAATTGTTGAAACAATCAGACTCATTTTTTGAGATTCCTTGTATTTAACAAGATAACGGTTTTCACTGTGTTGATCTTTTCAAGATTCTATGAGAGTTGTGTGGTTTTCATGAATACAATGAATCTCAAAAAATGAGTCTGATTGTTTCAACAATTTTTTTTTCGAAATCTGTTTAGATGACAAGAAAACTGTTATCACCAAGTTGATCTTCTCAAGAAACTATGGAAGTTGTGTGATTTTGATTGACGCAAATCATCGGATATCATTTCTAAATAGGGTATTGCAAGTCTATTTTTTCCTGAATCTGTATTGTTGATGAGAAAAGGATTATCAACGCCTTAATCTACTGAAGACTCTATAAAAATGTTGAACACCAATTAATCTTAATAATTTCACGTTCAACCTATAGTGAATAGGTATTTCCAGCCACAGATATTAGTACGGGTGCTAATAATTTTGTATCCCAACCACAGATTTTTATTTTCCTCTACGTCGGCATGTGTGGCCAGAAATCTGTGGATACCTTCACGCCAATGCATTATTTTACGATAGCAGTAATTTTCATGATAATAAGGAAAAGTTTTCATTGCTAATACTGCAACAATGCAATAATGAAGCATTTTGAACATGAAGATATTTTACTTTTCGAGAGCTTGAGATACCACCCTTTGATTATTACATTCACTATTGTAGGATGCTGAAATATTTACGGCACCCCTCATAATTTCTCAGCTACAAATATCTCTACCGATTATATCTCAGCGGTGAGATCTCAATTAAGAAAGGTTCAGGACAAAAAATTCTCGTGACCAAAACATCTCGCCAAATAAAATATCATGCAAAAATTTCTCTATTTTGTTGTTTTATGTATTTCTTCCCTCATTGATCACCGAACTCCAGTTCCTTCTTTATATTAAGAACGGTATTAGCATATTTTCGTACTTAGATTTTGTATGCAAGATATTTCAGTCTTGAGATGTATTTGTATTGAGACGTCTTCCACTGAATTATTTTTGGCTGTGATATTATTGCCCGAGATATCATTTCTGTTTCCATCATGCAACATCAATTCAGTACGGCTGTACGGCACGACTCACTGAAGCGAAAATATTCTAAGAGAGGAGAGATTCTCCTAATACTAGGTACATGGTGGTTCATAATCTGAGACGAGACTGTAAAATAAGTATAATTCAAAAAATACGTTAATTTCATTCTGAACTTGTATTTTATAATTTTTCACTTCCATTCCGAAAATGAGCGAATGTTTCATTTTCACTTCGTGTAATGATCGAAAGTTTTCATTTTCATTTCGAAAAATGGTTCAAAGTTAAAAATAATAAAATTTCATCGAAGCAAAATAACCAGATACACATTTTTTGTCCTTCCTCCTTCCTCTTCATTTGATCCAATCGTCGTCGAAAGTAGAGTCGTACGGAGACCTGAATAATGTAACGGATGAATAACAAACAATTGGACCAAAATTTTGAAGGCAACCCTACATCATACAATTGTATCGGACCTAATTAGCGGAAGATTCCGCCTCTCGATGGCGAAACTATAAAACGACAAATACTTCGAAAATCAACTATTTGAATTGGGCGCTTCCTACCGGAGACTGCAGAAAATAAGAAAGTTTGGAGGGAATAGGAGAAATTGATTAATTACTCGAAGAGGCGTTATGCGTTCAAGGCCATGGACTGAGAAAACTGAAGATGAAATGCGCTGATACAATTACCAGTTTTCGATAATTGGTAACATTTAACCAATGATAAATCAACCCCCATTCAGTCTGAAACCGAAGCAAACAAAAACTGTTTCTGCTTGTCGTTTTCCAGAATTTCCTGACGCCATAATATTGCCAGTTTTGTCGAAAAACTACAGTTCCTGGCTTCTGTAATGAATTGCTATATTCTCAAAATACGTCTATTGAAGTTGCCTCAAACAAGTGATGTTGATGCATTAATGTTTAGAGTCCAAGCACTCCTTATTTTGCGAAATATATTGCGAAACAAGACCCTCAGGTCAAATTAATTTAGTATTTTATACAACAGCATATTTTACTGATACATCTAGTTTATCACTCTAGTTTATTACTAATTCAAGTGAAGTGATTTTATGGAATGAATTATTGAACTTCAGTTGTGCTTTCTGTCACTAAATTAGGCCTTAGCTATATAATGTCAATGTGATCTCAAGTAAGGATTTTGTTATCACTACGCGCGCGAATATACGATGTTCCGTGCCACTCGAGAAGCAGCTACCAGAAGAAGAACTTCCAACCACACGTGATATGGACAGCTCTGATAGAGAGATGAGCTTCCAGGGATACGGACAGACAATTTAAGGAATAACCTGACCATGGTGTGGTACGGTCTTTAACATCCTCTAAGGGTGATACTACCTTCCTGACGAGACATCATTGTAGCGCAGAAGGGGGATCCCGTCTTGAAAACTCTACGAGAATGGATTGCCAAAGGAGTGAGACCGGAATGACAAGAGATTTCCAAGCACGGCCAGCAGGAAAAGGGTTATTGGCTCCAATGGGACTCCATGAGAATTCGAGATGACCTAGTCACTCGGAAATGGAAAAGCCCGGATGGAAGAACCCACAGATTCCAGATGCTCTTTCCAAAGACGAGTAACCCGAGTATCCTCAAACAGCTTCACGATGATCGCACTGGAGGGCACTTCGGAGTAAACAGAACTCTAGCGAGAGTGTGCGAGAGGTACTATTGGCTCAATTGCCGTCAAGACGTGGAAGAGTGGTGAAAGCGCTGTGACCTGTGCTTTCCGAGAAAGAGTCCGAAGACAAGGCAAAGAGGAAAGTTGAAGCAGTACCTCAATGGGAGCCCTTTCGAGAGAATCGCAGTTGACATTCTGGGACCACATCCCGTAACAAGTACCTTATGGTTGCGATGGACTACTTTTCCAAATAGCCTGAAGTAGTAGCCTTACCCAACCAAGAGGCTAAAACGGTGACAGAAGCCCTGTTGCAGAACGTAATTGCCAGGCACGGAGTACCCCAAGAACTACACTCGGATCAGGGCCGCAACTTTGAATCGAATTTATGGAAGGAAATGATGACTCTGTTGGGAATAAAGAAGACAAGAACAACCGCTCTTTACCCACAATCCGATGGAATGGTCAAGAGGCATAATCGATGTTTGTCTCCGAAAACCGAAGAGACTGGGATTAATTGGGTCCTCTTTTTCTGTTGGCATACAGGAACTCCCAACATGATGCGACAGGTTACACACCATGTATGTTGTTAACTGGTAGGGAACTGAAGCTTCCGATAGATGTATTTTGTGGCAGTCCTTTTGATGAATCTCAAGAGGTACTTCTTTCAGAGTATGTGAATGACCTGAAGGAGAGACTCGAAATTGTACACGAATTTACCAGGACCAAATTACAGCTTTCCAGTGACAGAATGAAGATAAGATTTAACAAAAAGTTGCTGTCAGTGAGCTTCAAGTAGGGCGATGCAGTGTGGCTCTACCAACCCAAACGTCGGAAATGTTTGTATCCCAAGTTGCAGAGACCATGGCAATCAAAAAGATGAACGATCTGGTGTACAGAATCAAACTGTAACCCAGAAGCAAGCATAAAGTTGTTGCGCGCTAAGAGGCGCGAATATACGATGTTCCGTGTCGCTCTAGAAGAAGCGAGAATAATGCTACCGATTTCGATGGAACTTCGGCCAAATTTCTACTGCATGTGATTACGATATATAAACGCTGGCCTTGAGCATATCGACACAGTCAAATGGCAATACACAAGGCAATACACATTCAAACAATAGTTGAAGTTTAAGTTGGAGTGTTTGTTGTATTGAAAGCGAAATAAAGTTAGGTTTGATTATTCAGTGTAGTCAATTGTTGGTCACGAAAAACGTAACAATATTATAAAACAAAATCTACAGGCGCATCTGTCTGCCTGCCTGTCTGAACGCGATATATTTTTAAACTGCCGATCGGATTATCATATGATTTTCACAAACGGGTAGAGTGAATCAAGAGGAAAGTTCATATGTGTATAGCTTATTAATATTCAGTGTGAATTGAATAAAATATGACGATGTTATTCATGAGAAGACGCGGTGGTGCTTACGAACTTTCATCGAAAATGCTGCCTAATTTCTTCAATATATTACAAAACAATTAACTACATATTGTTTTCCTTTTATAGGTTTACAGAAAAGTCTGCGATACCATATGTCTATCTTTTAAGAATAACGTACTACATCCAATTCAATTTTTAATCGGCATCGAATGAAATACGTTACTTACCTTAAGAATTTCATGTATATTATAATTGCCCTTTACAACGTAGATTTTAAACAGATATATTAGGAGTTATCCAAAATTCAAAACTATCGTGCTACAAAATAAGATTCAAGCTGGCTTATTCATCGACGCGATACGCATTATGACAAAAGGTTGCAATTGTGTTGGTTTTATTTTACATGGGGAATCGCTTTGAAATTTTAAGGTCGCATTTTCATTTTGTATCTTCTTGAGATAGATATGTATTCTTCTATTTTGAAATTGAAATTGTTATTGCTAATTTGACCATATTTGTTGGAGTGAATTATTTAAAAGTCATTTATATTAGTTACAAGCTGATACGACACAATGAGTCGTTAAATGTCTGATGAAGTAACATTTCTCGAAAAAAAAGTGATAGTTCGGAAACCATTAAAAATCAGAAATATGTCTTTTTTTAATTAAAAATGATCTGATCTCTATCATCCCATTTCATTTGATCCATGGCTTTTGAAACATCCTGTATTCAGTATACAAAACATTTCATCAAACAATTGGGAGAGCTGCTGACCTGCATTTGAAACATTTTGCTTTCGTCCTTAGAATTCGTTATTAAAATAATTTTACTCACCGCCTATCTCCACTTTTGGTAATATAACTGGAAATGTAGAAACCTTCGGGATCCGTATTCAGTTTGAAGTTGTATCTCATTTTCAAGGTGTAGTTATGTCTCTTCTTAAATTTATCTCTGACTTCTATATATAACTGTTCTGCGCCGGGATATTCCAATATTTTGATAATTGTCAAATTGTTTCCTTTACGATCGTGGATCAATTTGTCCAGTATAGTGAGGTTTTTGCAATGGAGCACTATGAAATTTGTATCTTTCTCAGCGTGAAATTCAATAGAGACTTGACCTTGAAAAAGAATATATCTTTACAAATTGGTACGTTACAATAAAGCGTAATACACAAATGTTTGACAATGAATATGACATAAGGTAAAAATAAATATCTGATGCCTTCAACATAAACTTCAATAACCCAACAAAAATTCATAAGCTAGATATTGATGAACTGTTAGCTGCTCTATGAGCCTTATATGCGAGTATTCCCAATGTTAAAGGCAAAAGAAAATCAAAGAGATATGGCAATTGCAATTAAGTCATTAAGTGTTTGTAGTTTCTTGATGAAGCTTATACTCGTATCTCGTAAGTATAGTTCAAGTAAACGATATTATAGTGCAATCTACCTTCCAACAGCTCCCCTTTAATATATCCATTAAAAAACTTTGTATTTCATCTTTCCTCGAATTTTCATTCGGTACTTTGATGAGCTGTCGCGAATGATAGGAAGCTTTGTCAAGAACTATTACACTATTCGCATCCAAATTTGATATCAATGTGTTTTCAAACCATTTCTCGAAAATATTAGCTTCCATGTTCTTATGATAGTCAACATTGCAGTCCTCATGTTTTTTTCCACAAAATTTCAATGAATTCGGAACCCATCCTTTACTTCCTCCGCAATGCACAATGATTAGTCGTGATCCTTTGTTTGCAGGCATGTTAGGCGTACACATTCTCGAACCATCAGTCCACCCTTTCGTAACTGTGTCGTGAGTGTGATACCAAGTTTCCTCCAAATAGAAAATCTGCCGTTGTTCTTGTATATATTCAGTTATTTGTTCTTAGTATTTGTTACGCAATTGCACTATTCTTCTGCTTTCCATAACTGCTTGACGTTTGTTTATTATTTTAAATCTTAATCCTAATGAAAAGAGAAATGGAAATTTCTATGTTTTTTACCACTTAAAAGTGGTAAACTTGAGATGTAGATGCTTACATACATTGAAACATACTCTCTGTGTTTCAATATTCAAATGCATCCCAATCTTATTCACTGGTATCTCTTTTTCACATTGTCCACCATCGCTATTGGAATCACTACACTGGAAAAAGTCTGCGTTGTTATCACACTCGTTATTACTATTGATACTTGTCCAAGGGCGCCACATTTCAAACAGATAACAAAAGTTTTAAGTAGTTATAACTGCACCAATATCGTTTTTCAACACTCAAATCGCGATCAGTTCCTGAACTAAACACGACGGCATTCCCAGATTTCCATTCGTCACCGTAAAATTACTTCAAATTTAATTTTATGACTCTTCAGCCAATCATAAAACTCGATTAGTAAAAATTATCCAATACGAACCGCCAAGTCTACAGTCCACGTGGACTAGTTTGCTGCCGGTTCATTTCTATGTATTGGTTTTTTTGGCCTTTGAGAGTGCCGACAACTTTAAGAGTGTACAATATCGTTTACTTCGACTTTACATATATAACGTAGAGTTATGAGCCAGTTGACAGGTTACCTGTCAACCATGAACTTTTGTTATCAAGCATATGAAATGATAATAAAGATATTGAAAACTAGAGCCCAAGCATAACCATTCATGATTCTACGCCAGACAGCGTATTTTCCAACCTGCCATAGGTCTCATCAGTAGTGTTACACAGGTTGAACCACAAATGCAGTGTCGATCCATTGATGTCCATAGATGGCATCTTTGTAAGGGGAGATGGCATCTTTGTAAGGGGAGATGTCATCGTCTTTATTTACTCAGGCTTGTTCTTCAAGGACAGTTGATTCCAGCAATGCATTTGTGGCTCCGTCTAGCACCCCTGATGAGACCTATGGCGGGTCGAAACAACGCTCTCTAGTGTTGAACCATAAATACGTTGTAACTTCCTTCTGGTTTTCAACTAGTTACCTTGCAATGAAAGCTGCAGAGAAAAACAGAGGACGAACCTCGTCGGCGGTGAAAAATTTCAATAAAGTTCCAATAATTCTAAATCTTAATTTGAGAAACATGTTACGGATAACCGGATTTAGATGTTACGGATAGACGTTGAGGGTTTATTAATACCGGCGGATATTCTTTCGTCAGCGCCACAGATCAAAAAAAATTTTTTTATTTTTTTTTTCATCGGAATTGATTCATGAAATACAGTTCGAAAACAGACGCTAACGCGAACGATTGGTTTTTCATTTTTTAATAAATACTAGCGACCCGCTCCGGCACCGCACGGGTGCAATGCTGATAATATACTACAGAATGTCTTTATATACAACATTCACAGCTTTTTTGTTGGTAGAGAATACAAACATATTTTCTTTAGTGGTTACTCTTGAAAGAGCGAAATATAATTGGCCCGGTACCGCCCCAACCGCTATGTCCCTGCATTTTAAATCTGTAATAATCATTCAAATTACATTCCGTAAGGGGCCATATTCATTACAGTATGGACAGATAAGGTGAAGGATATATTGAATATAATTTTATAAACGCATCTTTTTCCTCCACGGCTGGCGTCTTGCTTGGAATATTTAAAAATCTTTTTTTTTGCACATTTGGAACATAAAACGAACCTATATACAAAATTTCAGCCTCCAAAAATATAGTGGTATAGATAAACAGCGATGAAAAGGTA